TGTTTCTGCCACTGTAAGAAAATAGCATGTTTCCCTTCTTTCATTGTTGGCAGAATGTATTCTGAGTTCTAGGATCTTTGGCCTCAAGGGCTCATTTATCCATTTATTTGCTCAACAAAGGATTGAGCCACATTAGACTCTCGCCTGGGTGCCAGGCATATATTAGCAAAACAGAGTCACTAACCCCACGGATTTTACAGGATTGCTTGTGAAGTCAAATCTCAGATGGTGATAAGTATTATGGAGAAAAAGAGAAGGAAGAGGGGGGTGGAATCAGGGGATGGGGACAATAGGTTCCCATATATGTAAAACAGTAACAGAAAGCCTCATTGAGAAAGCAACATGAAGACCTAAAGGAGGGGAGGAAGAAAACCATGCAGCTCTTGGGGAAAGGGCCTTCCAGGCACAGGGGATTGCAAACATGAAGATCCTAAACCTCAAATGTGCTTGATAAGCCTGAGGCCATAAAGAGGGCATTGTGGCTGGAACGAAGGAGATGAATAAGGGGGAGGGGAGGGGCAGTATGTCTATGTACTTGCCCTCGTACCACTCTTAACTAGGTGAGAAGCCACTAGAGGGTTTGGACCAATGTCAAAACAGTCACTCTGGTTGCTCTGTCTAGGCTAGACTAGAGGCGGCAAAAGCAGAAGCAGAAAGACTAGTTAGAAAGTTATTGCAATGATCCAGATGAGAGAAAATGGCTTGGGCTATGATGGTGGAAGTGGTTGGGTTCTAAATGTAGTTAGGAGGTAGATTTGTAGGGCCTGTGATTCAGGACATAGTGTTAAAGACTGTCCAGACCCTTGAAAGAAGAGACTATTAGACCCCTTTCCCAGACCTGTTTGAGGCCCACCACTACGCCCAGCTAATTTTTGTATTTTCAGTAGAGATGGGGTTTCACCATCTTGGCCATGCTGGTCTTGAACTCCTGACCTCATGATCCACCAGCCTCAGCCCCTCAAAGTGCTGGGATTACAGGTGTGGCCACGGAACCAGGCACGCCAGATTAATTTGATTTAGAAAAATGAAGTGCTTATCAGTTTGAGAAGATTTTGGCTGAGACGATGGGGTCTTCTAGATATACAATCATGTCATCTACAAATAGAGGCAGTTTGACTTCCTCCTTTCCTAATTGATGCCCTTTATTTCTTTTTCTTGCCTGATTGCTCTGGCTAGAACTTCCAATACTATAGTGAATAGGAGTGGTGAGAGAGGGCATCTTTGTCTAGTGCCTGATTTCAAAGGGAATGCTTCCAGCTTTTGCCCATTCAGTATGATATTGGCTGTAGGTTTGTCATATATAGCTTTTATTATTTTATGATACGTTCCATCAATACCTAATTTATTGAGAGTTTTTAGCATGAAGGGCTGTTGAATTTTGTTGAAGGCCTTCTCTGCATCTATTGAGGTAATCCTATGGTTTTTGTCTTTGGTTCTGTTTATGTGATAGATTACATTTATGGATTTGCGTATGTTGAACCAGCCTTGCATCCCTGGGATGAAGCCTACTTGGTCATGATGGATAAGCTTCTTGATGTGCTGTTGCAATCTGCTTGCCAGTATTTTATTGAAGATTTTTGCGTTGATGTTCATCATGGATAGTGGCCTGAAGTTTTCTGTTTTAGTTGAGTCCCTGCCTGGTTTTGGTATCAGGATGATGTTGGTCTCGTAAAATTAGTTAGGGAGGATTCTCTCCTTTTTTTGTTTGATACAGTTTCAGAAGGAATGGAACCAGCTCCTCTTTGTATGTCTGGTAGAATTCGGCTGTGAACCCATCTGGACCTGGACTTTTTCTGGTTGGTAGGCTATTACTAATTGCTGCCTCTACTTCAGCCCTTGTTATTGGTCTATTCAGGGTTTCAACTCCTGGTTTAGTCTTGGTAGAGTACAAGTATCTAGGAATTTATCCATTTCTTCCTGGTCTACTGGTTTATGTGAATAGAGCTGTTTGTAGTCATCTCTGATGGTAGTTCGTATTTCTGTGGGATCAGTGGTGATATCCCCTTTATCTTTTTTTATTGCATCTATTTGATTCTTCTCCCTTTTCTTTTTTTAGTCTTAGGATACAAAAATCAATGTGCAGAAATCACAAGCATTCCTATATACCAGTAACAGACAAACAGAGAGCCAAATCAACAGCAAACTCCCATTCACAATTGCTACAAAGAGAATACAATACCTAGGAATACAACTAACAAAGGATGTAAAGGACCTCTTCAAGGAGAACTACAAACCACTGCTCAAAGAAATAACAAAGGACAAAAACAGATGGAAAAACATTCCATGCTCATGGTTAGGAAGAATTAATATTGTGAAAATGGCCATACTGCCCAAAGTAATCTATAGATTTAACGCTATCCCCATTAAGCTACCAATGACCTTGTTCACAGAACTGGAAAAAACAACCTTAAACTTTATATGGAATCACAAAAGACCCCGCATAGCCAAGACAATCCTAAGCAAAAAGAACAAAGCCAGAGGCATCACACTGCCAGACTTCAAACTATACTACAAGGCTACAGTAATTAAAACAGCATGGTACTGGTACCAAAGCAGAGACATAGACCAATGGAACAGAACAGAGGCCCCAGAAGCAACACCACACATCTACAACCATCTGATCTTTGACAAACCTGACAAAAACAAGCAATGGGGAAAGGACTCCATGTTTAATAAATGGTGTTGGGAAAACTGGCTAGCAAAGTGCAGAAAGCAGAAACTGAACCCCTACCTCTCACCTTCCACTAAAATTAAAGATGGATTAAAGATTTAATTATAAATTAAAGATTTGTAATTTAATTTTAAATCAAAGATTTAAACATACAACCTAATACCATAAAAACACCAAAAGAAAATGTACACAAAGCCATCCAGGACATAGGCATATGCAAGGACTTCATGACTAAAACACCAAAAGCAATGGCAATAAAAGCCAAGATAGACAAATGGGATCTAATTAAAATTCGGAGCTTCTGTGCAGCAAAAGAAACCATCATTAGAGCACGTCGGCAACCAACAGAATGGGAAAAAATTTTTGCAATCTACCCATCTGACAAAGGGCTAATATCCAGAATCTACAAAGAACTAAAACAGATATACAATAAAAAAACAAACAACCCCATTCAAAAGTGGACAAAGGATATGAACAGACACTTTACAAAAGAAGACATATATGAGGCCAACAAACATATGAAAAAATGCTCATCATCACTGTTCATTAGAGAAATGCAAATCAAAACCACATTGAGATACCATCTCACACCAGTTAGAATGGCAATCATTAAGAAATCTGGAGACAACAGATGCTGGAGAGGATGTGGAGAAACAGGAACACTTTTACACTGTTGGTGGGAGTGTAAATTAGTTCAACCATTGTGGAAGACAGTGTGGTGATTTCTCAAGGATCTACAAATAGAAATTCCATTTGATCCAGCAATTCCATTACTGGGTATATACCCAAAGAACTATAAATCATTCTACTATAAAGACACTTGCACACGTATATTCATTGCAGCCCTGTGTACAATAGCAAAGACCTGGAACCAACCCAAATGGCAATCGATGATAGACTGGACAAAGAAAATGTGGTACATATACACCATGGAATACTGCACAGCCATAAAAAATGATGAGTTCATGTCCTTTGTAGAGACTTGGATGAATCTGGAAACCATCATTCTCAGCAAACTGACACAAAAACAGAAAGCCAAACACAGCGTGTTCTCACTCATAGGTGGGTGTTGAACAATGAGAACATGTGGACTCAGGGAGAGGAGCATCACACACTGGGGGGAGTTGGGGGAGTAGGGGAGAGACAGTTGGGGGTGGGGAGGGAGGGAAGGGTGGGGAAGATAACATAGGGATAAATGCCAGATATAGTATGCACCTAAAGTAAAATAAATACATTTTTTTAAAAAAAGAAAAATGAAGTGCTGTGTCATTTCCCATACCCATGTTTTGTGGAGCAAATCAAGACTCATTATACATAATTTAAAATGTTTTACTTTTGTTTGTAAAGACATTTGTGCAGTACTTTTGTTACCATAATAAATAAAAACATATTTTAGAAATAATGTTAAAATGGGGCCAGATGCGGTGGTTCACACCTGAAATCCCAGCACTTTGGGAGGCCGAGGGGGGTGAATCACCTGAGGTCGAGAGTTTGAGACCAGCCTGACCAACATGGAGAAACCCTGTCTCTACTAAAAATACAAAATTAGCCAAGCATGGTGGTGCATGCCTGTAATCCCAGCTACTTATGAGGCTGAAGCAGAAGAATTGCTTGAACCTGGGAGGCAGAGGTTGCGGTGAGCCAAGATTGCACCATTGAACTCCAGCCTGGGCAACAAGAGTGAAACTCCATCTCAAAAAG